ATAGATAGATAGATAGATAGATAGATAGATAGATAGATAGATAGATAATCATATATTACATTTTTTTCTGCATGGGTATGCATATGTTGAGTTGAAAAAATATTACAAGTAGCCACTAGATAATGGAAGATAGATTTTTAAAAAGTAGGTATATCCACATGCTGCTTAAAAAATATTTTGTATCCTAAGAGCATAGGATTATTCCTTTCCATCTTCTGAATATCTTGGTACTGTGTATATTTGAATATTTAACTAGAAATATTCAGTAAGATGTTTTATGTGATCCCATAAATTTCCATTACTTTGAATTTGAGACTTTCATATGAAATCATTCCTAAGGCTGGTAATTGTTCTGAAAACTGTCAAAATATTCCATCTGTATTTTCATAATACTAAAGAACATGGACAAAAGTAAATTAGATAAGTATTACTTTTCCTCTTCCTTTTTATATCCTGTTAATCCAAATTAAACGACTATCACTTTTAGCATAAAATCACTTCTTTGCATGGAACTTTTAAAAGTAAGCAACTTATCAATAATATAGTGTGCATTGTATACTACAAAATTACTTCCAATCGTCCATTAAGCCAGTTAATGGAGTAAATGCTTCATAAAACGATAAAATGAAATTGTAGCATTGCACTGGCCTTTTTCAGCATCATTTCCACCCATGATCCCACTATCCCAGGGGTGTCAAACTCACCTCGTTATGTCATCGTCATGGGATGTATTGTGGCTTTTTCCTCCTTCGCTAAACCGGGGTGGGGGTGGCCAGCGCATGATGCATCCACCCTGTGGGCTGTGAATTTGACACCCCTGCATTATATCGATTACTTTTTCATAATAGTTGTACATGAAGAAAAACTTGTCCTTCTAAAGCATGATAATTACTCATAATCCAAGATCTAGAGTTTGCAAATCCACTAAGTACTAGCAGCCATATACTATATTTGTATTTATTGACATTAATCTTTGCCTATGTCATTTTTATTTATAAAAATTAACTTGATGACTGAGGCTGAAGTTCCATTTCATCCAAGAGTTGTTTTCCAATAACATTTAATACTTTTGAAATACAAGAAAGAACATAAACACAATAATTATTACTCGTCCCCAGCATATTAGGAAACTGCTTCTTTACAGGAAGGGTTCCATTTAGAAATTTGTGCTATTATCAATGGATAATAGCCATTCAACTTTTATGATGATTCATCTATAGTGTTTTAGATACAGATTTAGCATATTAATAAGCAATATATTTTCTAGGCTCAACTGTGTTACAGCTTTGTAATGTATTTCACTAATGAATTTGAGGCAATATTTTCCCAGTATATTTCTGAACATTCACATTGGAATGCCAATGGCTGTTAATTGTTGTTGTTGTTGGTTGAAGCTCCATCCAAAATGATTTATATTGTTCTAAGTAAGTGCCTTTTGGTTTAAAAGTGGCCTGTACAGTTTCTTTTCTATATTGCATATGTACTACATGTATTGAAATAAACATGTCCTGATGAATGTAGATCATACCTTAATTGAACAGACCGTGCATGCACATATATATAATATTCAAGACACAAAAGGAAAGTATTCTGCTGCTAATGTATGTCCTGCTGGACAGGACTTTTTAACACAAAATGAAGGTTTAACTTTTTAAAAAAAATTGGTTACCATAAAACTGTTCAGTTACAATTGTGTCTTTCATTTTCTGTTTTGAAAACTGAATGCTATTTATGGTGTAAAGCAACTCCAGTAATTAGTGTTATCAGTAACAGCTGATTAATGGTCAGAAGCCTAAAGAATACTTTTGTTTTTGTTTTCCATTGATCTTCAAGTCTATTTGTGCTTAAGATGAGAAAGTTCAATCACAATAAATATGTATAGTCCATATTAATTTGATCTAAAAACTGTATATTGGGCAAGCAACACATAGATATTTATATGCAGAAATATTAAGTATTTTTTAAATTGCACATTAACTTTCATAGCAATATTAGCCTAATAAACTTTTTAAAAGAAACCACTGATTGGATGCCTGTTTCATTAAATTGATTTAGTTTTCATCATTTTTAATAAGAAATTATCATGAGTTAAGTTCATCACACATTGTAATCTCAATTGTTAAAAAGCCTAATATGCATATGAAGTTAAGTAAATATTTCTACTTTATATACTACAAATCTATAAGCATTCTAAAAATGTATTTTCCTTTCTCACAAAAACTGCACAGAGTCAAAGAAATACATAAATGTGGATGCATTCATATAAAATGTTTTGGTGGTGCAATCTGAAACAAGTATAGAACCATATTTTTTTATCTTCTGCTTATATTTTTCTGTGTGTAACCCTTTCCAATAATTCTTTGACAAGGGTAGTTGGACCATGCAAAAATGAATGAAGAATCAGAAAGCTATAAGGCAGCTGCAACCTTTTGAAGGCTGTCCATAGTTTTCTGTGCATGGGTACAGCCAGTGAAAGTATTCATGCATGCACTTTGGACTTGCAGTTAAGTAGCTATGTATTCTATACAAAGGATGCAGCTGCTTTAATACTTAAAGAGTATGTTTCACTTGCGCCAACACATTTTGCAAAGCACTTCTCTTGAATGCTTTGCAGAACCTTATTGCAATAACATTCTAGTAACATTCAGCTAAATACAAGTGGAATTGGTGGTGCCAAGTAGAGTGCTGACCTCAAACAATTATATGTAAAATAATTGCAACATGACTACTATTGTGAGACAACCAGGAGCAAAACACAGCACACAGAGGCTTTGTCTTTTAACCATGGTTTATATACAAGACAGCTATATACATAGGCAAATACCTGGCAATGAATCAATCTTCTTTACTCTACACGGAGAACCACAATGGAGACAGAACACAAGGAGAAAGAGATACACCCTCTCATGGCCGCCTTTATATAGAAAACTTCTTAAAGTGCTAAAACCCTGTGGACGCATGCTCAGTCTTAAAGCGGCAATATTTCTGTGTCCCGTCCTCATTTCATCAGCATTTACAGCACTTCAAGATCTATAACCAAAAAAAATGCTTTCCAAAACAATCCAAATTATTCATGAGAAGTCTTCAGGATTTGATAAAACCACCTATTTTATTTTTACTTTAATGACTTCTTGATGCAGTGATTTATTAAAGCTGTATTTTGGATTCAAAGAGAAAAAGCTGCGTGGAAGCATGCATATAGCACCAACTCAGAAAGCTCAAACTGCCTCAGGAGCTACTGATACAGTTCTACAGAGGAATCATTGAGTCTTATCATCTGCATCTCTATAACTGTCTGTTTTGGTTCTGCAACCCAACAGGACAGACACAGACTTCAGAGAGTAATTAGGACTGCAGAAAAAACAATTACTACCAACCTGCCTTCAATCGAGGACCTGTATACTACACGAGTCAAAAAGAGGGCTTTGAAAATATTTAGAAACTCCTCACAACCCAGACATAAACTGTTTCAACTCCTTCCCTCAAAACAACGCTATAGAGCATTGCACTCCAGAACAACTGGACACAAGGACAGTTTTTTCCCAAACGCCATCACTCTGCTAAACAAATAATTCCCTCAACCCTGTTCAACTATTACAAAGTCTGCACTACTATTCCTGTTAATCTTGTCATCACTCCTTATCACCCATCCCCTCCCACTTATGACTGTATGATTGTAACTTTGTCGCTTGTATACTTTGATATACTGTTTCCTAGTATGTTTTGTTTGCGTATTGTACCCTATGACTATCATTTAGCGTTGTAGGTATGATTCTCGACTCTTGATGAATATATCTTTTCCTTTATGTATATTGAGAGTATTTACACCAAGACAAATTCCTTGTGTGTCCAATCACACTTGGCCAATAAAGTATTCTATTCTATTCTATTCTATTCTATTCTATTATCTACAAGGTGTATCTCTTTTGGGAATCAGTCTGCAGATTTGGAGTGGTATGATTTCTCTCTGTGTACAATAGTTGCTATAAGAATTGTGGGCAATTCTAGATACTCCCAAGCATCTTTTTGTCATTGAATCCAAGGAGCTACACGGTTTAGCACACAGCATATTAACTGAAGAAAGCAATTCAGTTGCTTTAACTCCACTATTTAATTACACTAAAAATACATTTAATGAGCTAATAATTGGAATCAATTCAACCTTCAAATCTTGTGGCTTTTCCACTTAACGTCTGAGTTGAGCTGGCTTTAGAAAAGCCTGCAGTATTAACATTGAAACAGGCCATAGCTTTGATCTGCAGAAAAAAAAAAATCTAAGCTACAACCTGGAGTTCCAGGCATATTTTAAAGATCCTTCTGAGTGACCTGGTACTTTGGCAACATTTTTTACGTTAACCAGATTGTGTATGTTGATTTCATCAAACTTAAAACAGGCAATTGAATGAGTGTTCCTTTGCAAGGATGCCTTTTACTCTTACCTGCTTCAACAATGCGAGCCAGTTGCTCGCACCCTTCTCCTTTGCCCAGTTTATTCAGTCTGGCTCAAGGAGTTTGAGTTTAAACAATGTCTTTCAGGTTGTTTTATCCGCTGTAAAGACAAAGCAAAGCACGACCAGACTGTCAGATGAAACATTTGGATTGCTTGCATTCAGTTCGTAAAGGTAGTCTTCACCTAACAAC